TCGGAAGAAAGCGTCTTCCAGGGTTCCTAACGAGGAAGACGCTGTCACTCGAGTCGGTTGTCCCTAGAAACCTGTCTGCGAATTTCGATATACTATCTCTCGCGAATTTCTCGCTAAGCGGTGCATTGCTCAAAGTGTGTGGATGCTGAGAGCTGATGAGTGGAGTGTAGACGAGTTCGTGGCACGAGACAAGTGTGATTTTCATTTAGAGCATGCGTTAAATTCGTGCATCGAGGCTTTCCAGCGAATGTCAAGGAATTTTGAGACTTTGCAGAAATATTTGGTTCTTTTCGTTATTCAGGGGTTACTAGATTTTTTGACAATCTTAATTTTTGTGATTATTTTGTTTTAGATTTTACAATCTTCTCTGTTAAACGTGATTTATATTTGCGATAGATTAAAATTTTTCAAGGGATTTTGAGACTTTGCAGAAATCTTTGGTTCTTTTAGTTATTCAGGGGTTACTAGATTTTTGACACCAATCTTAATTGTTGTGATTATTTCGGTTTTAGATTTTACAATCTTCTCTGTTAAACGTGCCAGATGTTTGCGACAGATAAAAATTTTTAAGGAAGGAGTGGACCTGGGTAATTTTAATTTTTGCAATTCGTCAATTATCAGTGTAAAAATGGCGTCTGGATAGCGGACGAATATTACGTTATTTTTTAGAAAATGGTGAACTCGTTCCTTTAAGTATTTTTCCTTTAACAATAAGTCTACTTTCAGTCAAGATTTCGAAAATTAGTACACGAAAGCCTCGAACGGTTAGGATACTGGTCCTTTGATGGTTTCTTCCTTTAATATAGACTGATAATACTTCGGTTCCAAAGTGGACAGGTGTCCACAGGAACGGCACGTCGTATGCATTATTTTTTACATGTATCATTGATGTACACAGAAAATATTCGAGTGAGCGAGTCGCATAAACGAGTCACGAGAAATTGTTTGGAATTCGAGCAATCTGCTCAAGTTTGCGGATCCATCGAATATTTCTCGATCGAAACCTAGTCTTAAGCTGTTGCGATTGCTAATCGGAGATAGAGGCTAGAAATTAAGCGCACTCGAGAAGCTTGCAGGGTAAACTCTTTCCACGAAGTCGCTCGTAGACTTGTCAGAATCGAATGTTCCATTTTCATCGAACGTAATTTATTGTTAAACGGTGTACTCCAGCGTGTCCACCTATTTATTTGTACATACATAGTCACGATACATAAGTAATCCTCATTGTCATTCAAGCTTCGAACTTTCAGCGAGTTCATAAAAGGGAAGGTTACATCGTTCATTGTAGAAAGAAACGAAATTTCATCTCGTCTCGTGAGCAAGTGTGTGTAGCATCGACGATCGTGTACTGGAGTCAGGTGTAGTCCCTGATTTTCAAGTAACGGGATAATAAGCGTAATATAAAGTATCGCGTAGAGGTGAGAAGGAGGCTAACGAAAAGAACGCGGAATGACTGTCAACAGCGTAATAGTACTGTCTTTCTAATGCTATCGCAAAGATAGAATACGCGAATTTTCTCTTAGTACGTATGTCGCGTTACTCGGAAGATGACTCGTGAGATGATACAGAGGTCAGAATAATATTAGAATAAATTTTAACATAATTTTTAAGACACGTTGGCCTCGCTATACACTAATGTTCACATACGTTGACCTTGTTACACACTGACTTTGACATGCACTAGTGTCGGTATGCACTGACATTAACGTACGTGGAACTTGGCTCACAATGACTTTGACACGCACTGACCTTGATACGCACCGACCTTCGTAGAAATTCATTCCAACATACGTTGACAAGGTCATAGGCTCTGACCTTGACCTGCGTTGACTTCCATAGATACTGACCTTGACTCGAATTAACCCTCGCCTGTGCTGACCTTGACACACGCTGACCTCGATATGCACTGCCCTTGACTCGCGTTGACCTCGATATGCACTGACCTTGGCATATGCCGATCCTTGCTCACGACCTTGGCCTGACCACCACAGTGATCTTGACGAAAAATGACATTTCAATAGATCAAAAATCTATTTTTCGCGATTCTACCAAAGAAAATTGCCCTACTCTTGCATTTCTTCCGAAAGTCATCTTCAGAGCGACGCGCAGTATAGTATAGTACAGTACGTACGCGAAGCCTCTGCGCATTGTATTAAATCACGACCGACCCAAAGAATATACTCCAAAGAATTATACCATAGTTCCAATCGCGTAACGAGACGAATCCTCCAGACTAGTCCGTCTCACGATTATTTTTATCTTCGAAATCGTGCTTCGATGTGTTAGAACAGAATCTTAGAACGCGTTCGACGATCGTCGTTAGTCTGTAAGAAACTTTCCATCCTCCCCCAGTGACTCGAAGAAACCACCCTGGTTTCTCTCGTGCGAGGCACTCGTCGTTCGACAGGCCACGAAGATCTTCTCGCATCTTTGTTACCCTAACGCGATCAATTGGTTACCTAATTAACGAGACGTGCCGCGACGAAGCTTAATGACACGCCGGTCTATCGATGAGCTTCTGCTAGCATTAATTATGGACTCGTCGGGATCTTTACGATCAGATTGTAATTACGAGCTGTGCGTGCCTGCGTGTGTGTGCACGTGTACCAACGAGCGTCATTGTCGGCCGAGAAATGTGTCGTGTACACGGAAATGTACGCGTCCAGCGCTATTCATCTCGCGACGACCGTGTCGTGGTATTGTCGCGGTTCCTTTTCTCTCTTTTTCGCCTACTTTCGTGTAAACAGATTGCAGAATCGCCCATGTTATCACGTATCAGCCCTGCGAGGCGATTACGCGGAGAGCGAGATTTCGAATGCTCTTTCTTTCGTATTTCCTTTTATTTCAGCGACACCACGGAATTGTATGCATTTTTTACACCTCGTTTGCATGTAAATATTCGAATAAACTGACGAAGATATGGAAAAGGAGGTTTCATTGCTGGATCTCGTGAGCTGGATTGCGTGAAACTGATGAGAAAAGTTGATTCACACCCTTTTTGAGTGAGCGAAAGGAGAAAATGGATGAATGAGGATTAAGAAAATTAAGAAAATTGAAAAGTTAGAAGAAAATAAAGGTACTTGAAAAATTTGGAAATTTGAATGAATGGAAACTACCACAGGTAGGAGAAAATATAAAAGATATTTAAAAATTAAAGAAGCTGAAGAAATATGAACAACAAGACAGGTAAGGAAAACTAGAGTGGTTAAGAAATACACAAATTCTTGGAAAATTAGAAAATTTAATTAAACCCAAGAAAAGCAAGAAAATGTAGAAAACTAGAAAATCTTTTGTGAAAAAACAAGATCAATTGGAGAGGTAAAAAAAGGTCTGTTAATTAAAAAATAGAAGAGTATTTAGAAAATTAGGCGAATGAAGAACTAGGATTCCTAGAGACACCCAAGTAAACTAAGGATTTTAAAAAAATTAAAAAATTAAAAAATTCTTACAACTAAAAATACAAAAGTTACAAAAATCCTTTACAGAAAAATTCAAGAAATGCCCAAAAATGATTTTACCAAAGATACAAAATTAAATCATCATCGAAGAGCTCATCTATCAAAGAACAGTACCGATCAAACATCGTTCGCGGATTCATTTTTTCCCGAATTTTTAATTTATATCCGACGTTTGATATTTGTCAGGCTGTGTCGGTATTTAAATGTTAATCCAGCCAAGCTCGTTCTCTTGTATTAAACGCGAATAATTTCGAGGGAAAATGCGTCGATAAATCACCCAAATGATTTTCACGAAAATATCCACGAGAATCATCTTCAAAAGAGGATTATTATATCATTCGATTAAATGAAATGCAGGTGAATTATAGCGAATACGAGCAATTTTTCCAGTTTCAATTCATTCAACATATCATTATAAAGTCCATCAACGTCGAGCTTCCTAATATTAATTTCACCATGGCCACGTGGCAGTAGTTAGACTTTTTCAGGTCTTCAACTTTCTTCTTTGTTTTACTTTTCTTCTTCTCCTTCGACGTTTTCTCCATGATTTTGTTCGAGTCGTTTTTTCCAAAAACGTCTTTTCTTTCGTTAATTGCTCGAAATTCTACACCGAATTCCATCTGAAACGTAGTAGTTAAGTTCTCACTCTTGGTGTTGTCCATTTTTATTGGTTCTTGATTAAAAACCTCGAGGACATTGATTTAAATTTTTAAGAAGCTCAGGTAGAATGAATAAAAATTTAAAAAATTATAAATTAAAGCAAAAATATACCGAGTTCGCATGATTGCAATTTTTATTAGGGATAGGAAATTTTTACGTAGGAAATTAAACACTGTGATTTAAATTTCGAAGAATCATTCATTTAGGTATTTAGGAGGATTACGAGGATTTTTAATCGAAAGCTCGTGGAGATTTTTAGCAAGAAACTTGATTATAGAATGAATATAAATCTTACAAATTATAAATTAGGGATAGGAAATTTCTAGGTTCTCCATTTTCCTTGTTTCTCGATTAAAAACCTCGAGGACATTGATTTAAGTCGTTAAGAAGCTCGGGTAGACAGGATAAAAATCTCAAAAATTATAAATTAAAAATACCGAGTTCGCATGTTTTGAATTTTTATCAGGAATTTTGAATTTATCAGGAAATTTCTCAATGGGGAACGAAACCTCGTGCGAAATACCGTGATTTTACCGTGATTTGACGAATCATGCGTTCAGGTATTTAGGAGACGAGGATTTTTAACCGGAAGCTCGAGGAGATTTTCTGCACGTACTTTTCTCCCTTGCGGGACCAGTAACTGCTTGCTCTCGTCGAGATTCTGGAACGAAAAGAGGCTACGATCCATAGATCGCTCGAGGTTTCCACCGAATATCGCCAATTCCTCGTTCGACCGAAGGTGGTCGTCGAATTCAGGCTTTCCCCGCGATTTTCCATTGCTTTCCGCTTTCCCTTTCCTCTTCTTTTTGTCTGGCCTCTGCCAGGATTCCTCCTGGACCCTTGGAATCTCACCCTCCAACTGGTCGACCAGGCAAAGTCGAAAGATCAATGGACACGATCCAGTATTTTGTATCTAAAAAAATAGAAAATCCCATCCCGAGGTATTTTAAAATCTGCATAATATTTTTCAAAGTTCGAATTATATTTTAATTGACGAAATAATTTTCTAAAATATTCAAATACAGGGAACGAGATTTTGAAATATCTAAAGAGGTGTGAGGTATTAAAACTTCGCTCCTGGATCGAAAACTGATCATTCCATGCAACTTCAGAGTTGGTGTGGTCTGAGATTAAGTAGCTGCTGGAAAATTGAAGTAGCAGGGAATAATTTATGCGAAATCCGAGAGACGAGATACTTTGCAAATTAAACGGTGTAGTGTGAGGCTAAAGTAAATAGACTTTAGGTTGAAATTCAGGTCCTCTGGACGTTGTTGGAATATTTTATGAATCGCGTAGATGTGAAGGATGAAATTTAAATGGAATGGAGTTAGATAGTGTTTGGAGAGATAAAAATGATGGAATGGCCAGAGAAGTGACAAGGAAAAATTGAATTTCAAATTTCTTTCAGAGAATTTCGTATGTGTGTGTAAAGCTAGATGTTTAAGTAGGAGAGACAAGTTATCCTGAAATTTGTCTTGTGATGCTCAATAATAATAGGGTTTGTATGAAAATCCTGGTTATGGAAATTAAAAAGGTATTCTGAGATCTTGGACTATGATAAATATGGCTTGTGATAGTTATCGAGGGAAATGATGTGTTTGTCCAAACATTTGACATTTTATCACTCTCCATACATTGTCTGCTTAATTGTTAAAATTATTTTATTACGACAAAATTAATTAAAATTACGTCTTCGTCTCGAGAACAGAATTTAAAAAATTTCCTAAAATTTTTCGATCATTTTCAAATTTTCTCCATATCTTCTCAAAAGTATAGTTCAATTTATGTACTTCAAAATTACCAAACAAGTCAAAATAACATTTCTGTAAATATTTTATTCTTTTATTAGCTAAAAATATGTACCTGCTTCTCATAAAATTAATAATTTTTATTCGCATAGGAGCGTAATTATTTCATTACTCGATTACTATTACTCGCATACGTTATGTTCAGCTACTCCTTAAAATCGACAAAAATCCAGAGCTTATCGATTCTCAGAAAACAACTATGAGAAACCACCTTAATCCAATCTCTAACAAACTTTCCCAAACATCCCTTGCATAGGAAGCCGTCCCTTAATCTCAATTATGCGCGAAACTTTAACCAAACTTCGCTTCTCCAAATTTATTCCTCGAATTCGTCGTATCTCTAATAACAGCTTTCATTATACAGCCGAAAATCAGCATAAACGTGAATTCGCTGTCGCCTGTTTATATTCGGAAAAGTCCTCTACTAGTTCACACAGTGTGCTCGACATCCTTTGAAGGTCCCTTTGATAAGCATCTGCGACGAGCATCTCCGTGCCGAAACTTGGTTTAGAATTACGCGACACTGGTCGTGAAACCGCGGCCGGAAATTGTTTTCGTTTTCGAAGTCGAGCTAGTTTCACGCTGCAAAGTGGCGGAAGTCGACCGAGTTAATCCGGAAGGTATCCAGGATACCGGTATGACGATCGTTAACGAGTTCGATTCGTTGAGAACCCGACTTGGGCTTGGTCCAAAGACCGAAGATCAGGTCACGACTCGATTAGGTGGATGAAATGTGGCTTTCAATCCGTGATTCCAAGGAAAGACGGAATTACACGTTGTCGTTTTCGAGATATTAGATATATAACACTGAGTCTACTTACTATGACCTGGATGAGCATTTTTAAAATTTCGATCGAATATTACCCATTCGACTTTATCGTGAATATTCAAGGTCGATTTACTCGAAAACGAAGCTTCGAATGAAAAAATTGTATTCTTTATTTTCGATTTATTTTTTCACATAGAATCACCCCCTCCTCGGTTGTATCACCGATACCGATATACCTACGATTTATCCACCTAAACAATAGTTAGGTGCATGTGTACTCGGTGAATATTCAAAGTCGATTTTCTCGACAATGAAGCTTCGAATGAAAAAATTTTATTCTTCATTTTCGATTTGCTTTTTCACATAGAATCACCCCCTTCTCGTTTTTACTACCATTATTGGACTAACCTGTATATTTCATTAACTTTTCATCATTTTCCCTCTCATATTTGTCTTCTTTAAAGATTTCATTTTATTTTTTGTAGTAGTAGGTTTAGTATCGAAATATAGAGTTTGGAAGATCGATTCTTCTTATTAGCATATGTTGCATAAACATTTTGTTTATTATGGGCTCGCTAATTTCGGGCTGATAAATCGTGTATCTTCGAACAGCTGCAGCTTCGTTACAAAAAATCGTATGGAGCTGAACCTTGGTTCGTTTTAAAGAGTGAAGTTTCCACTTTCCGAGCTCTGCCTCGATATTTTTCTATCACAGCTTTTATACTCGAATGCGATTAGTGAAACTGAGTTTAAGCGGGTACTCCATTTTCACGAAGTTTCTAAGACTTCGGACGCCTCCACGGAGTGTAATAAATTTTTTCCGCCATTTTCTTTGTAATCAGATTAAAGGGCGAAGTCTCCCCTTTACAACGACCCCCAAGAATTTAATATACGATTTTCTCTTCCCGAGTTATCGTGCTTCGAATGAGAACAGGGAAATTTGTTTGTATTAATTTCTCATATTTTTTGAAAATCTATTTTGTAACCAGGTAAACAACAAAATTAAAATTTGTTGTTCTCGAGACACGCAGCACCGACCTCTATAATCAAGGAAACAAACTGAAAGTATCAATTTTCGAAATTTATATTTCTTTATTATTTAATGGTTCTGCTGCTTGAGTCTCAGACCTCGTGGACGTATTTTCAGACCACGAGTCATTTAAAATCGTCCACCTGACGAAGATCAGGACGAGTTAATCACTGTCGTCCATCTTGATCTCGGAAGAATGAGTGGATAGAGATCCAAGGACGCGAGCGAGAAAAGCGAGAGGATCAGGACCTCTGGAAGCTGCAGACTGCGAAAAGATCGATGAAACTGCTCTGAGCGATGCACCCGGATGTTTAACTTTCGTTAGAAGCGTCTGCTTCATCATCTCTGGGTTAAATGTCCAAAGACAGATCAGCCTTCCGGGTAAATCGTGTAAAGGACGCGAGCTGGGGATTAAGACTGCGCGAGTTTGTCTCGGATGGATCGGGATTGTCACGCTGGAGATTCAGGGATTATCCTGGCGAGGAGAAAGTGGTACAGGAAGAGGTGTTTCGCTGTGAGAAATCTCTCGACGTTAATTTCCAAGCCATAGGCTGACAGAAGGATGCAGGGTGCCTTAGAACAGGGATGGCCAGACTCCCTAGGGGTTGCGACCTATTCTAATTTAATCGAAATAGACCTGGTTAGGGTTGAACCGATCTAGTTGCGATGTGCGACTGTTCTTGATTTATATCTCGATGTTGAGGGTGGACAGAGGGTGGTTTGCCTCCTGTCTCACAATCAATGGTATCATAAGTTTGGATGTGTTCTGGTGATGGGTGCGAATTGTGAGTAATGGGTGCATGTTTCTCTGTTGATTGCGAATAATGTTAGGAGTGTGTATGAGTTTCGACTTCTTTCGGTGGTGCTGGATGTTCAAACAAATTAGGATGTTCAAACAAATGATCATTCCCCTATTAACACTAGGTTTACGGACGCTATCTGTATACCTATTTCTAAGGACACCTGTCAAATTGCCAGGTGAAGGAAACCACGTGCCTTTTTTTCACGATTAGTTTAATTTAAAAACAATTATATATTATATTAACAGTCTTAATATAAGTTAACTAAATCTGTTAGCATTGTATAATTGGAGCAACCTTTCCGTCAAATTGACGGGTTCCGTAAATCTAGTGTTAAGGACTAGCAAGTGGTGGCTGGATGACCAATGCTTGTTTCTCTATTGGTTGCAAATAATGTTAGGGGTGTGTATGAGTTTCGACATTTTTCAGTGGTGGTGGGTGTTCAAACAAATTGAGCCTCTATGACCATCCCCCTGATAAGGACTAAGTGGTGGCTGGGTGACCAGTTTGAGTTAAATCGCAATACCTAATTCCTCTTTTAAATATTAATTTCTTCCAAATTTGAAGATCGTGTATTAAAAATGAAATCTTGATTCTTCTCGTCATTCGAGACGTAATTGGAGAATATATTTCAGGAGAAAATTGTGGAGGGTTGCAGATGGGGTTGCAGAAGAGGGGTAGATTTTGTCCAGAGAGGGCGTGAAGCTCGTTTCCTGGATCTCGGTAACGTTTTTCTGATTCTCTTATAACGTGGTATCACAGATGACGAAATTGCGTTTCATCTCGTGTTCGTTTCTGCATAACAGCTGATCCCTTGACCATAGCGCCATTGGACGTCGAAAAGGAAATGGCTGACCGATATTTGTTACGTCGAGTCGCCTCCAGCAACCGATTTCTCCATTTAGGGCAATATTTTCGCGAACAGACTACTATTCTCCATTAAGGGAACAGAATTGTAAATTTTCTGCTGTTTTCATGTAGAATACATAGGTCACGTGTATTTTCTAGAAGGGTTGGAATCCATGAAATTTATGTTTTATCCCTCAGAAATGGAGGTGATAAGTTATGTTGAAATATATTCGACAGAGCTTTGGGAAAATATAATATTCGTCTAGGTGGAAAATATGGGAAATATAATATTCATCTATCTTAGTTTCAAATTGGGAAAATGATACCCTTGTTTGCGACGATTTTATTTTATTTTATTTTATTTTATTTTATTTTATTTTATTTTTTAACAACAAATACTTGTATCCACTGAGAGATATTTTCATTTGCATCGTGATCAAGGACGATTAGAAATTTTGTTAATGAATATCTCAATATATCAATATTTAAGAAAAGAAATTTAGTTTCTTCGTTTTTTAAATTAAATTCGGAAAATATTTCACTGTAAAATCGAGAAATTTAGAAAGTGAATTTTTGAAGAGTGACATATATTCAAAATGGAGAAACCTATACTTTTGATTGTTATTATAATGATCAATATTTTATTGAGGAATGTTTAAATTATCGTTATAAGGGTATTCTGAGATAATTTAATTTTACTTAATTTTGATTATTTAATTTCCAAATTTAATATTTCGAATTAATAGGATTTTAATGTGATTATTCCGTAGAGTGATTTTCGAGTGAATATACGAAATAAATTTTCATAGAAACACATTGTTTTCTGATGTACACGGACGCGGTGAGATAATCACTGCACACCGGATAAACGGTGTATGGTGGCGCTGCGATCGAATTCGCTTCACGTTGTTGACAGGTTCGTTGATTAATTCTCTGTATATTGAATAAATTTGCAAACGTTATCCATCGTTTCGGATGGATCGCCGAAAAAGCGCGAATCGTTGAGAATAACGTGGAACTTCATTGGTCAGCGTGATGGACGAAAATTGCAATCGATAAAGTAGATTGAAGGATAATGTATCACTATTAATTCATCGCGTAGTGGCATTAGCTTGACTAATTAGCATCCTCCCACGGATTGCTTCTCCAATTAATCTTGGAATAACAAGGTTCATACGTTTTCACGATCTAATTATAATTACGTCCCTAGTAATTGCACTTTCTGCATTAAACTATGCGATCCTTTATCTAGTTATTTGTGCGTTACGAATTAGATTGTCAGGCTAATTAATTGCTTCTAATCCACGGGGTGTTCAGACAAGTAATGTGAACCGTATCAATCATGGCAAATCGCTTTTGTTGGTAATGGAATTTCGATTAACGATGACAGTGGTTTGCGGAGTTATTTATTTTGTAATTAATTTAAATAATTTATAGATCAAGTATTTATTTTTTAAACAAAGAGTCTTCTGTTTTTCGTGGGTATATATTATTGCTTTTATTTATAGAAATATTGGAAATTTTAAACAAGTAAAGAAAAGGAATTGATAAATGTTCTAGGAACTGTTTTACCGACCAAAGGTAATCGAGGCTAGTTACTTTTTCCAGTTTCGTAATTATTTACTGTCGATATCTTACTATGTGATTCAATGTATATATTTATTTATATATATGTAAAATATTTTTGAGTTAAAGATTGAAAAGATATTTACAAAGGCTGTGAGACTTACGGATATTTTTAATTCTACCGGTGTCTCGTCGATAACTTCGAAACGAGCAACTCGAAACCGCGGTTTTATCACGTAAGATGGCACCACAGGGAGTCCTCTGACTTTCACGATCCATATTGTTCTCGTTCTAGAACTGGAAACTTGGAAACGCTCTCGATCCTAATAAAAAAATTCTTCACCATTATCTCGAAAATATAAAAAAATATTCTCCCACTTGTTAAATCCAAATATAACGCAATTTCGATTAATTCCCAACAGAATTCATCGATTACTCGCATTCTATGAACTCAGTCACAATCGAAGAATCTCAAAATGCGACCTTTTACTTTACTAACCTCGCAGTTCCCAATATTTATTATTACAAATTTCGAATTATAAATCTCCTAATTATAATCACAGGACTATCTTCAAAATACGTTTCAAGTAAGATAAAAGATATTCTAAAAAGAATTAAGAATTAAGAATTAACCAATAAAAGAATAACCTAAAAGAAGATGGCGCTTGGGAAGAAAAGACTCCATTAACCTATATCTACTCATGAACGTGAAATTAATTTTCATAGCAGGAATTTAAAATCGAGGATCGATTCCAAATCTCGCGATGTCTTGCGGAACGAAGATGCAGACCTTCAAGATCTGTCGCTGCGCGTGCAAATGGCGGTGTCAGTGCCTAATTCCGCGGAAGAAGAAGCCTGGTCCGCCTTTTGGCGTTGGCTCCAAACGCGACACGACCATTGGACTGCACCCAAACTTCTACACCATCAATCCAGAGTCGCCACCGGTGGGATCCTACAATCCCTCATCCGTCAAAAGCAGATCCAGCGTCGCCAAGTACCTCTTCACCAAATGCTTTCAATTAAATTCTCTAACACCCGAATCTCGACCAGAAAAATTATAGAAACGATGTAAATCCTGTTCAAAAATCTAGTTGGACGAGGCAATTGAAATCCAAAGAATTCTCCATGAGCATGGGTGGAAGGCTCGTGAAGAAACTCGCTAGCCAGAGGTACCTGATGAAGACAGGTCTTGGTCCAGGCACCCACGAGCTTCCTCGATGGCCTGAGATCGTCCTAGACCAAGCTTGCAAGACCACCAAGAGAGACGTATCATTTGGAACTGTCCCCCTCTTCCAACCTGCTTGGCCATCCACTACTCCTGGGCCAGGCGAATGATCATCTTACTTCTTAACCAGTCCTTGGATCAGTTTTAGTAACTCTTCCGGTTCCCCGTTTCAGGATACACACGGAAGAGTCCTTATTATTACATGGACAAGAGGAAACGCGAGGGTCAGTCCTGTGTCCCAACTTTCGAGTACGATGGATTGAGGCCTAGGTTCCTGACAGTGCCTAGACCTTGGTCTCTTCCATCCAATTTGTACGTATTCTCGATGTTCGGTGTTAAGAAGACGGTACTTATAGAGTCGTGGAGGAGATAGATACTCGGCACAGTCAATTCTCTGCATAGATACAACGTGAAGCATCCGAAGACTCTGCAAGCTACTCTGAGGAAGGTGACAGGGAAGAGGGGTCCCTACGATTTGTTTACAGGTTGTTTAAAATTAGCGTCACGCGCCTTGGATTTTCTACGTCACCTGATTCATCTTCAGGACCAAGGGACGAGAGCACGATCAAAGGCTACCTGGCATCCGTGAAATTGGAAGATCACGACGACTGGCCTAGATCGTTGCCGAGCGAGCTCGACAAGCTGCTGCACAAGTGGAATTATTTTAAAGGACGTTGGACCACCTGTCCGAGGTATTCTCATTAAATTTACCGTCCGTCCAGTGTAAATTAAAACCCTCTCCTGTGGAACTGGGTACAATGTATGGGATACTCATTTGCTGAAGAAATTGAAAGAACCGAGAGAATTTAACCCTTACTAATTGTGCGAGCCAAAAGGGGAATCTGAGAAGAATTTGAGAAAATTCTTGGAGCACCTACAGACGTGCCAAACTGAGATCCTGATCAGAACTTGGTCAAACTTATGGTTGTAACGAGCTAAAAAGGGAATCTGAGAAGAATTTGAGAAAATTCCTGGAGCACCTACAGACGTGCCAAACTGAGATCCTGATCAGAACTTGGTCAAACTTATGGTTGTATATTATATATTTAAAGCTTCGCTATGCGTTTGTTCACGTGGATAGAGAATAATTCAAAACTGACAGAAGGAAATAATTAATCAGTTAATTGATTAATTAATAGACTTAGGTTCACAATTTGGGAATTACTTTATTCTGCAGGGACGTGTTATAATTTTTATGATCAAAGGATGAATAAGATTGTCTTTCGACAGATTTCCAAAGGTGCCAGGCACGAGGATGATGCTGAAGGACCTAGCGTTGTGTTACAAGGACCCAAAGCACCCAGGACCTGGCCATTACGATCCAAGATCACCGAGGAAACCGCAGAACACGAAGAACTATCCGTTCAATATAAACGTGGAATTCGTCAGACCAGGTCCGTCCTCAGAGATTCGACCTGGTCCAGGAAGATACAGAATTAAGGACACGAGAGCCATAAAGGGACACGGGTGGACCTCTGTGTTCAAGAGCAAGGCGCCAAGAACTGATTTCATCGTCATCCCTACCTACAATGCTTTTTGATCGATCTTACCTTTCAATTCTCTCACAATTCTCTCTGGTCTGTCGTGTAATTATTAAAGGAGAAATTAAATTTCGGTGGAACTCACTTCTTCGTGATCTTCCCTCGGTTGATACGTAACTGGGAGCTTCAGAATGGAGCCAGTCTCTATCGTCTTCCCAGGAGGCACGAAAAATGGTCCAAGTGGGTCTAGTAGACTCACATCTACCTTTACATTTCTGTTCAAAGTAAGAATATTTCTTGAGTACCTCTTCCAAATATTCTTCTTGGTTACTGCTCACGATACTCACTGATTGGAGATATTTTTCACCAGAAGGAACCTCCTGGAACAGGTGCCAATGGCTGTTGGTCCAAAGACTATTTCTCGATTCTCGTTCAGGATGAGAATTTCAGGCTTGGTGATTGGACAGACCAATTTTGCGAATAATAATTCGTCGCGTTTTGAGCCATCTTTTGTTTCCAAATTAATCTCCCACGTCACGAAAATCGTGGAAACACAAGGTTCGAAGGTCTCCAATAAACTGAGTTCGTTGTTCAATTCATCGACATCAGGAACATTCTTCTGTTGCTCGTCTTTCTTGCCTTTCTTTCCTTTGGTTTATGTAGAATTATTCTTACATTCGCTGTAAAAATCTGTGACAGATGACATCTTGACTAGAGATACCTTTTTTCACACCTTTGTCATCCTTTTCAAGCTTTTCTTCCTGCTGCTCGACGTTCATTTTTAGCCTAAGACCTTCGTCGAAGATCATGCTTCTCGGTAACCTCGGTTTAAACATGAAATTAATAGGAATAATCTCGTTGTTCTTAAAGGTACCCGACTGTGGTGTAAATTTCATCCTGTCAGAGGAGCTCTTAATTTCGTAACTCGCTGTAAATTCTTTGTGCTGATCCTTTATGACTCCGCAGGTACAGTGAGGGTAGGAGGCCATGTTAAAGCCTCTCAGATGCAGGGAAGCCTAAATTGTGTACCATTAAAGACACGACAGACCTCTTGACAGAGGCTTGACTCTGTTACCATCGAATACGAGCCACAAGGGGTTGCTGGGAATTGGATAATTTGCTCGCTCAGTTCACAGAAAGTGTCAATGATGTACACGTACACCTCTATCGAGTTCTTCTCCTTTCTTTCACTAGGCTTTTCAAATTTTTCCTTCGAGGTGTCCAAGATATCCTCTTCATCTGGTACACGTGCATAGAAATTAGTTCTGTATATTCTAAATATTTTGGAATAATTATCTTCAGCATTTTTACCATTCGAATCTCTCTGGTTGGCATCCAAATCGCTGTCAAATTGATCTCCGAGGTGATCCTTATCCTCACCAATAACTGTTGCACGTATTTTCTTCGGTGTTTTAACGTCGAATGGCACCGGTGGTGGGATTCCACGATTTTTTGGAATAATTGGTAGCATGTTCACCTGATTCTTCAATTTATTCAGCGTGGCTCGTTCCTTGCTCCCAGCGAGCTCTGCCAAAGTGACTACCCGTATCTGGAAGCTGATCAAGGATCTTTCGTCGATCTTAGGGGACCTGTTCGAGGTCTGGAGCAATCGTTACAACCTTCGTTCACCGGACAACCCGTTTGCCCCGATTTCGTTCCCAGGGATGTCTGTCAAGCAGGCAGAGTATATCAGGTGAAGAGTAATTGTCTGTCCGGGAAGAATGGCACCGAAACCATGATTCGGGTGTACTTCCATGAACGGTGGCAGGTTTACAAAGGCGTACTCTTGGATTAACAGAGATTCGTTGGTCAATGTTAACTCCGTGTAGACTGATTCGTGTGTGTGAACATGTCCCAGGTCAATGTAGGCTGGTTCTTTAAAATTAAAGAGGGAGAAGATGATTTAGAGATCATAATTGTTATTATCGTTGACTTAAGACTGACCTAAGACCAGAGCATGACACGTGGTCAGACTGGCGAGGACTTTTAATATCAGTGGGGGTGGTTTCTCTGGACCTTGGAGGACTGTTTGCACTTGGATTGGGATGGCTAGCATGTTGGACACTGGGTCGTAAAATCTGAAGACGTTTAATAAATTTAATAAGTTTAATAAGTTTAATACGTCCCTAGGCTGTGCCAGATTTATCAGAGAAAAATGTGTCATTTGCAGTTTGTTATTAAAATTCGTCTTTACGATTAACCTCTTAGGTACTATGCTTCACTATAATTTTTCTTTAATTAAACTGTCAACAGACTTTGAAAAGTTTCGTTGCAAAAATTTGTTAATTGTTAATTTGTATACCAAATGAATAATTTGTCTTTCTGTATACCGTTTGGAAACGTGGAAGATGTTGGATTCAGGTGTGAGTCTCACATTGACTTTGGATCTCGATTCAGAGCTTGCGATAGTCGATTTAGGATAAACTGAGACTTGATTTCCCAGACACTTCGGGGTCTTCATCGAAACCTCGACAGAGGAACGTCCTGAAATGTCAGTTTTAACTTGACATCTTAATAAACACCTTCATCCTTAATAATACTAAGAAATGTACCAGTGTTAACGATGTTGAAGGTTTGTTGACGAACGTCACAGTCGACCATTAGGATACCTAGATCAATGCATGGTGGGTCTAAGTGGATTTGACAATTAATCACTTCGGCCCAGATTGGCACACTCTGCTCGAAGAAATTATAATATTACTCACTTCTACATTCTATTATTTCGAATTCGTTCAAATAAAACATCATAAACCTGTTTCTCCATGATCTTGTCCTCGCTGAGAAAACAAATTTCCAAGACCTCATGGTGCAGACCCACGTATCTTGGCCTAAAAGTGATCCTTAAATGGCATTTGATCTTCGCAGGGACTTCAATTTGGTATTTTTTCCGAGGCTTCTGGTCATTCGAAGTGTCTTCGCTGATATTCTCTATTTTCATTTTCTCATTTCCATTTTCGTCTAAAAATATGTCATTTATTAAATATTCTATTATACCCATTAATTTTTATTATTTCAAGAATCTTGGAATCCACCTGTGCACAAAATGGACGATTGCACGCTTTGTATGTGAGCCTGATCGAAATGCCATAAGAAATAGTTATCCTGGTCGTTTCTTTCTTCGATTACAATGGAGAAAGGCTTTCTACCCTCGTTCGAAATGGTCAGAGTCCTTTCATTGAACTTTGGGTCGTCGTACCTCCAAATTGGAGCTGAAGGGAACCTGATATTTCAATTTTACGGTATTTAATCGAGATCACATGTGGTTTATCTCGAAGTCTGGTTAATTAATTAATTAATTTCGAAAGGATCGGATAGATGGAGAATTAAAGATAGCCTGAAATTTATTTTTGGTGCAAACCTAAGTTCCTTGGGGTCCAGAACAGGCATGGCACACTGTGGGGTGCAACGAACGAGAACACGAAACTCGTGGAAGCTTTCTGGATAATCTTGGCTCAGGGTGAGGAAAGAAATCTCTGCTGTCATCTCTTCCTCGTGGATTGGTGAGAACTTGACATTCACTGTTGCGTGCAAGCCAGGTTTCACTCTGACAGCGTCCATGATGTCAATCTGCGTTTAGATCGTTAAATAAATTTTTCTTGGCACTGAAAATTATAATTATAAAATTATAAAATATATCCTTGGATCTGCCAATTTTATAATGGCAGATTCAAGGAATTATTAAAGAACCTCGACAACTCCAGGCTCCCACACTTCAGTGTATATTTTATGGAACCGTAGATACGCCCATTTTGCTGTTTTGTTCCTGATCAACACTCTGCGAGAATATTTCTTCTTTATGTCGAAATCCTAATTCAATATGGTGAACGTTCATTAAACCGTTCATAAAATCGGAAATTATTTTAAAAAATTCATTATATTTATATCTGGGACTCCTTTCACGCTATGGCAGTGTACCCATCACTTAAAAAAAGAAGCAAAGAAGAGCAGATATAATAAATAAAAATATTGATTAATGACAAAGCGTAGGTAAAACTAGGTAAAACTTAGAAAATTATAGAAGTTACAGGAAAAATAATTTTTGTTAGAGAAGTGTTAGAGAATCGTCACATTACTGTATATCACTAATTAGAACACTAATTACATCGACGTCATGACGTCACTATTTGTTCCATTACATTTACATCGCAAATCTATCAGTAATTTATCGTGTATTCAAGTACCATTATGGTGCAAAAATATCGTCACAGGCAAATTTTGCAAATCCACTGTACACCGATTTTGACAACAGGAAAAATAATTTAACACACGAATAATTGTACAAACGTGAATAAATACCGCATAAAAGGAGTCTCATTATCAGTATAGTCGAATACAGGTAAATACTTGGAAAGTGACTATGCTTGGTATGGCAAAGAAGCAAGTGTCCTGCTCGAGCACTCGTTCCACTGATGACTTGGGTTCCCTCGTTGCTATGAGTTTTTCGAAATTATCTTTGTCCCCTGAAACCTCTTCTTCTTCCTCAGCCTCGACGTCTCTCTTAACCTTCGCTGTTTCATCTTCCTTGGATTCGAAGTCAGAGATCTTACGATCCTTTTTACCGAGATCTGGAATAGGTTTCTCTATCAGTGGGACGTCTATTAAATCTTCTTGCACAATTTCAGATTCCTCGCTTCGAATCTCCTTGAAAGAAATTCCTGCATTTTTTAAATAAACGAATGCCATTGTTCATCTCTAGAGCAATCTTCGTTACGATTTTCGTCATCCTCTCTTGACGAAGCTTCAGATGTTCCTTTCTTTCTCGTTCGTGCTTCAATATCTGCAATTTTTTAATTATTTAATAAATTTATAGGAATTCCTCGTGGGAAAGATTTGGAAAATTTTAGGGGAGAAATTTTGGCGGGTAAGAGGAACTAACTTTTTGGAAAATTGCAGAATCAGGTGGCAGAGTATCGTCGATTTTGTATCTCCATCTTATTCTGTGGAAAGATAATTTAGTGTAGGAACGATGAATTTTGTTATTGGATTTTAATGATTATTTTATGGTGTTCTGATACTTCAAGATGCGATCCAGGTGAATATTTCTTCTCATAATTGTTCTTTCGTGGAGATGACAGGTGCGGTGCCATTCTTGGTGCGACAGGAGGATCTGAAACGTTCCTAGTTTAGGCTTCTTTATTAGTGTTATGGATTCGATTTACCTTGAATTCGATTAGAGATTTACAAAATTTTAGCTGTCTGCGTTGATTCAGGTATTCTTCCCATTTCTTCTTCTCTTCCCTTTGTCTGAGGATCTTCAACTTCGACCATTTCGTAAATCTGTAATCTTTCTTCGGTTTCTCAGATAAACGTGCCTCATCTTTAACTTCGTGCTAGGTATAAATTAAAAAATTGTCCATAATTTTAATGACAGCGTACTTCAGAATCGTCTAACCTTTCTAATCTTAGGTTCATCCTTTTGTTGTAATTCCAGAGCCTGCTTTTTCTGAGCTTTCTCGCGAGCTTTCAGGGCTAGTAATCCTTAAAGTGTACGAAGAGTATAAAGACTGCAAGTTGTTGACAGTGTAAATTTTGACACTCACCTTTCCAAGTCTCGTTATTTTCTCTTTGAAGTCTGGCTGTAGTCTTCTCGTCGAATACAGAGTTCCTGTCAACTTTCAGAAATCTCGGTTTGTCTAATAGTTCCTCGCAGGTTGTTCCCTGCATGATTACTTTACATATTCGTTTAATATATCCAAAGATTCTGTCAACACTTCGAACCGTCAAAATGAAGAAATAAAAGACTGAAAAAAAATCGAAGAATCAGTCGAATATTGTCTTTCCTTCGTGTATTTGTCATGTATCTTCTATATATCAGGCTGATCATGCTAAAAATTGAATGATTATTACCACTGGTATAGGTAATATGCAACGAATATTCGAAATTGGATAATTACACTCACTATTAACATATACAACACCCAACGACCACTCAAAATTGGATTACTATACCCATATTTATCGGTACACACACTTTGGTCTTCACCAAGGACTCAAAAATTGGTGACTACACTCATCTTTAATATACAACCATCGCTCAAAATTGGATTACCATACATTGACAATTGATACACGGCGAACACTCAACATTGGATGGCTATACTCACCTTTAGCCTACGTCAAGGACTCAAATATTGGTGATTACACTCATCTTTAATATACAACCATCGCTCAAAATTGGATTACCATATATTCACAATTGATGCACAGTGGATACTCAACATTGGATAACTATACCTACCTTTACTCAGCATCTAACACAAGCAACCAATCACTCGTAGTTAAATAACTATACTCACCTCGGACATACCTCAGAAACCAAATTTGGGTGACCATAATCACCTGTACTGATTCACGAGTTAACTATACCTATGTACCTACATCCAACACGCAGCAAGCACTCGCAGTTAGGTACCCATTTCGACTTCTAATACACCTACTCCGAGCATCTAATTTTCGTCGATCATGATCACCTCTATCGACAAAGGGGTTAACAACTCAATTATCTCTAATTCCCGAAAATCTCAGCGCGTTTCCACCCAAGCGAAGGTGTTTAACAAACACCGACCACTTCCTCGAACCTGGAATCCTGGGACTCCACGCAACCGATGATCACAGCTATCCAGCGGCCTCTGAGATCATAACGATTCATCCCCTAAATTAGCCTGCACGGTACACTTCGCGTTATCCGTCGTTTCTTTTCATCGGTTCCGTGGGGTTCTCGTGCCAGATGGAATCGTAACAGAAACTCTCGCGGATAATGATGCACCGGACGATTACACACGGCCTGCGCCGAATGCATAATTCATACGTGTGCCACGAACTTTGAACCGGCGCCACCGCTGGGTTCACCCCGCGCAGGGGGCGCTGTAATCGCGCGGTTCTTTTCCACGCCGAGCGTTCAACGGATCGAGGCTGAACCCCTTCATCCTTGCCACACACGTCACACACGGCGTCTGTCATGGGATATTTTCGTCCGATCCTCGCGAGCTTTCGCCGGCGAAATTACTGCCGGGTTACTCCAAGTACTAATCAGCGCCAGGGGTGCACATGCACGGCCAAGTGCCCCCTTCTTTTCAGTCTTCGATGAGCCTTTGGCTGGTGTGGGGTAGTTTCGTAAGAACTGTATTTTCTATTTCTCTTCTGGATATAAATTTTGTGTCTCGTTATACTGTTGAGTATACATATAGTATATACACTTGTATTCTTCCTAAATACCAACTTGTGTCATCATACTACGGGTGTTTAGGCTAACTGCTATCTATAACAATACACATGCGAAAAGAAAGAGGAACTTGTAGCACAGCTCAGTGATAAGAGAACAACCACGTGTTAAACAGACGAGATATGTTCAGTGATAAATAGACTTGTATATAGTGAGTAAATAAGTAGTGATTTTTGCATATACTTAGTATTTTTATATCGTGCTTCTTGTTCTACGATATTTACTGTAATTTAGGAATTAAATTATTACTCTGTTGTTATGTTTCAATATTGGTAGATTCTATATAGATTGTAATTCGTGCTTTATTTGTTGGTCACCTGTGCTGGTTGGATAGAAAGTTATTAATATAGGTGCTTTAATCGCGTAATTAGGTTATCAAATATATATCCCATCGCGTGTAATAATAATTATAATGATATTTCGTTCATAGCAGTTGCTCGAAATAAAAAATTGGTATATCAGAATGGTTTTCTCTATTAAGTTTCCTTCTCCTTCTTTATTTTATATATGGAGACAATTTTATAGGAGAATTATACTAGTTATTATTCTAGATACAACAAAAATTGGTATATCAGAATGGTTTTCTCTATTAAGTTTCTTTCTCTTTCTTTATTTTATATATGGAGACAATTTTATAGGAGAATTATACTAGTTATTATTCTAGATACATTAATCGCGTGTAATAATTATTACAATTATATTTCGTTCTCAGAATTCGTTAGAAATAAAAAATTAGTGGATCAGTCTAGTCTTCAGTATCGTTTCTTTCTTGTAATAATTATTATAATAATATCTCGTTCACAGAATTTATTAAAATTCGAAAATTGATACATCAAAATGGTCTTCTCTATTAAGTTTCTTTCTCTTTCTTTATTTTATATATGGAGACAATTTTATAGGAGAATTATGCTCGTTGTTATGCCAGATACTTTAATCATGTGTAACAATTATTACAATTATATTTCATTCTCAAAATTCGTTAGAAATAAGAAATTGGTGGATCAGTCCGGTCTTCTATATTAAATTTCTCTCTTGTAATAATTATTATAATAATCTTTCGTTCGTATAATAAGAATTTATTAGAATTCAAAAATTGGTGGATCAGTCTGATCTCCTCTATTAACCTTCTTATTAGATCTATTAATCAACGAGAATATTTTATTTTTGTGTCTTCTTTCATATATAGAAAGTGTAATAACACTGTTCATATTTTAATACTGGATTGATTTTGTAATTACCAAGCAGGGACAATTTCGATGTTAATTAACGTATTAACGAGACGAGCTTTACACTCTGTTTCCTGTATCGTTTGAATATTCGTAGAATCTATTTAATTAGATCTCATTCCGCAAATTATCACCTAAATTAATACACCTCCATCACAAATCTTGTCGCGAATCGACGCCTTTAAACATAAAATCGATGACTCTCGTGCGAGCAAATCGTACCTATATTACAGCAAATTATTTATCAACGATAACACAGATGAGCATAAGAATCCATCAAACTTGATTGAAATTAAATTCCGAAAGCGAGCTATTACTCACAGAAGAGTAACCGTGAAACTTAGAACAAAACGTGTTTGAAGATACTTTTGATGAATATTCAAATTGTAGACCGGAAGTGGCACCTCTCGCGCGAGATGCGTGGAAAAAAGGTAGGAGCTCCTCTAGTAGCCATATGTCGGATAATTTTGTAGATTGATGGAGAATTTCACGGAGCAACTGACACCCGTATAGAGGTTCCCATAGGCGGAGGCTGTGTAACGCGGCTGTCATGCTAGGCGTGCACGTTTATTTGCCAGAGGGAATTAATCGACATCCAATTGGCCTCTAATAACTTTCTAATTTACCAGTGGCACTGAAAACAGCCGCGAGAGTAAATTTACCTCTCGACACCTCGTTTCCACTGTTTTACCAAGGATAAATGATCCGACTTTATCGAGGTCGTAACCTCGTTGTTCCTTCACCATCGAAACGACGAGAAACGGACGTTGAAAGATTCCATCGATTGATCCTTTCATTCTTCCCTGCTTGCTGCAGGGATACACGTGACATATATCCATTGGAAAAGATAACAGGGTGAGAAATGATCGTTATCTCGGTGAGTTATCGTATTTGGAAGATTAGAGAAAATTGATGCGTGGATAAAAAAATATTTAACACGCGCCAATGGATCTACCAATCTCCCTGATCTATGGTCGAGCAAGAAGAAAAGCCTAATGGCCGAATAAAAAGTGTTTAATATGCATCAATAAATCTGGCAATCTTCGTAAGCCATTAAGGTAGAACACGGAATCTTTAATGCCCCTGTAAAAAGTCTTTGACAGGTCAACCAGTCTTCTCGACTTGATATAGAGGGAGAAGAGAGAACTCCAATGCACGTATAAAGAATATTCAATACACGCTGGTGGACCTAAGTCTTCGTAAGGTACTCTAGAAGAAGAGACGAACCTCAATGG